AGCCTGTCCCCAGAAGCCACCATCAGGAGACTTACCTTGGTGATCCCCAGTGCCCCAACATTCTCGCTGAAGGAGGTGGTGCCATTTCCTGTCCCCCAGGCTCCTGCCAATAAGCAGCCAAGACCCTCGATGCCAATGCCGCGGTTGATGGCGTGCTTCGGAGGGGGTGGGGCTCCCAAAGCCGGGCACAGGCATAATAATCACCCACAGACTCCACCATGGAGGAGACCACCCCAGCAATGATCCCAAAGACTCCAGCCAGGCTGATGGTGGGGCGGCCCCATTGTCCTGAAAATGCAGTGCAGGGGGGTGTCCAGTCAGAGGAGGCTGAGGAAACCCACGTCATTTCCTGGCTAGAGGGCTTTCTGGGAGACTGTAAGGAGTTGGCAGCTCTTACAACGACTTTGGCTTTGCCTGGATTCCTGCCCTGCCATTCCTCCTGAGTCTTATCAGATGCCCAGAACTTGAGGTCACTGTGCATAGAAAGAAGCAGAAATGGCCTTTTCCTAGGGAGGCCTGAAGGTTTTGGAATTCTTATAACAACCTGGAGTCTCTTCTTCTTTAGGAGTCAAATATGGACCCCCTGGGGTCTATCTCTCCTTATCAACCCCTCCCCCAGCCCTGTTCTACTCTCCATCCTGTGACCTGAGGCACACAGATCCAGTGGCCCAAGCTAGAAGGATACCTATCTTCTCCTTACCTGGGTAAGGGACGCGGAACCAAGGGGCCTGGCGCAGGACATTGCTTTTGGTGTCAGTGCGGGCCAGGTACCCATAGTCAGTGGGGGACGAGGGGAGAGTGTTGGTGACCGTGAGCACGAAGCAGATGAACCAGGAAATGCAGAGAGCCAGCAGCACCTGCCAAAGGGAGTCTCCCTTCAGCTCTGCCAGCTCCTGCCCCCTTTCCTCCCTCAGGAGGGGTCCAGGAACATGCTCAGATGAGTAAGTGCTGGGTGACCACGCTGCTAGGGACAATAGGAACCTCCTGTGTCCATGGAGAACTTAGCACATTAAAGAAACAGGCTGGAAACAGAAGCACAAAACAAACTATGGAAGGAGACTATGCGGCAGGAAAATCCAGCACACTGGGCACAGCATGGAGCAGAAGGATTCCCACCTGCTCTCTCTCCACTGATTGCTGATCATGTGACCTGGGAGCAAACCCTCTGAAACTTAGTTTTCTCATCTCTACCATGGAATTACAATCACTGTTCTGCAGAGCCTGAAACAGGGCCTGAAAATGAGGTCTACAGGTATATCAATTTTATATTTGGTGGTGGGACCCCAGAACTCTATATTCTTAGTGAATTCTCCAAGTGATTCACATACACACTGAATTTTGGAATCATTGGACTGCAGGGTTATTGAAAGGTCAATAAGATCATTATATGGAAGTTTCTTTGTACCTTGAGAAACACAGTTCTCAGTTAAACCTGAAGACACAGCTATGGTGACAATTACACACTGGACAGCGTGGTGTGAAATCAACAAAGAAGGCTCTGGGAAGGTATGCGCCATCTTGCTCACCAGCAGTTGGATTGCCCGTGAGCCATTGGGAAAGACCCTGATCTAAGCAATTTGGCTCAGCAGGCTCCTTCAGACACTTAGTTTTACATCATTAGAGGTGAACCTGGCTGTCTCTCCCAGTACCTTGTATGAGGACAAGAAGACACAACTGTGCCCAGAAGAGCAACTAGGGCTCCTGGGAGAGAAGCCTGTGAGGAAGGACCTAGAATACAAGGCCACCAACTGCCGGGAAGTACATCCCACAGACCTGGGACTCTTTCTTCCTCCTAGGAAGAGGCCACCACAGATGGAGGAGCTTTGATTTGGGGGCCACCTGGGCACAGGAAGTTGCTGACAATCTCCAGGTACATCAATTATGAATGGAAGAGGGTGGGTAAGAGGTGCTTCTTACAGGGAAGACCTGAAAGAGGTAGAACTTGGAGGTGTGACACTTCTTCTCTCCACCATACACAGGCACAGGCACCGGGATGTTTTTCAGGAATTGAGAAAACAGCATGATGAGGAAGATGGTCCTGAAACAAACAAGCACACCCAAGCTGGAAAGTGGGCTTATCCTGAGCAGGGGCTCAGGAGGCTTTGGGGGTGGTCTGAGAAGCTGAGCCACCAGGTGTCTCTGGGACCAATGTCCTCACCAGGTGGGGCTCCAGCTGGTTGCCCTCTGCACCATATGTAGATACCTGCTATCTCTGAAAAGAGGTCCCTGTTGGAACTGCTTGTGGCTGAAGAGGACTCCTGGGATAGGATGCCATTGTTTCTGGTGCATCTGAGAGGAACAGGCTGTGCAGCAGAGTCACTGAGGCCCATAGGGACTGTCATATCTCTCAGGCAGGACTGGTGCAGGTCTGATGATTCCCACACCTCACCTCAGACCACAAGAGGCAGAGTGAATGACAGTGTTGAGAAACTGATGTGACTCCATTTTTTAGAAACCAGCCTCTACCTCAGAGCAAAGCCTGTCCAAGGAAGGGGGCGTGACCCGTGTCCTTGGAAAACCCCACAGAGCACTTCTAGACAGATAGCCACCCTGCTGAGTTGTTTGTCTGTAAATAACAAGAGAGGTCTGTGGCGCCAGGTGTCCCTGACTCAGGCTAAGTGAGGACCCATAGCAACCCTCTAGCAACCAACAATCAGCATGAGACATAGAAAATACCTGGGATGCCACATGACCCCCCAGTAGTTTATGGTGGTTGATAACATGTTGGGAAACCATGTAGTTCAGCATGTTCTCCCCTCATTGCTTAAACCAATCAGTTTAAAGGAATCCCCCTCTTGTACTAGGCAATCAACCTTACCCAACTTGTTCCAGTCAGTGAATGTGGTAATCATGTTTTAGAGTTGTTTTATGATTTTCCCGCGGTGTGTGATGATTTGCTGACAGATGGTATGTTGTATGTGAAGTCCCTGACTCCTGCAAAGAGTGTATAAAACTACTGCAAACCCTGGGCTTGGGGCCTCTCAGCATCACCAGTTGCTGTGTGCGCAGAGGACCGAGCTAGCTGGCAATAAATACCTCTTTGCTGCTTACATCGATCTTGGTCTCTTGTGGTCTTTTGGGGGTTCCAAATTTGAGCATATCAGTGTCTCTCCCAGGTCCCTCCAAAATTGTTTAAATGCTTGAGGCCTCATTTCTTGTTTCCTGATCCTCCCAGCTGACCACCTCTCCTTCACATGCGCATGGCCCCAAGGCCTCCTGGCTGCTTCCTGGTATCATGGGCTTTTATCTCTCTTAGACTACAATGATGCTGAAGAGCTGGGGCCATTCTTTGCACCCTTTCCCAGCTCAATGAAAACTGGCATCCTGGACTCACATTATTCTTACTAGCTGTACTTCCACCAAAGAAAGCGTGGCTGGGCCTCCTCCCCAGAAAGTACTTACGTGAAGGAAATCCCCCAGTGGATTCCAGTGTCATTGCCAACAGGATCAAAGAGAGGCAGGGCCACCAGGGAAATGGTCGGAGCAATGGTCAAGGGGCTAATGAAGCGCATGAGAAAGCCGATGAGGCCTGAGAATCCCACCAGTATCTGGATACAGGAAGCAACCATGATGGCACCCTGCAACTGAAGGGAGAGAGTTGGCCTCTGCTCAGCCCAGGCCCCCCAAACAGGCCAAGCTGCTCAGCCTGCTGCTCAGTCTGGTCACCCCGTGGGTGCATTCAAAGGCAGGGAGGGCAAAGGCAAAGCTGGAACTCAAAGGAACTGAGAGGAGAGACCTCATCTCACTCCTCTCCACTCTCTATTCCAATGGTCTGTTGCACATTTTCATTTAACATGAAAGATTTCAGGAAACAGGCCTCAGGGTTCTTATCAGTCCCAGTCATGGTGATGAAATGACTTGTGACAATTCAGTGTGTATTGAACATCTTGCTGCTATACTCTTCTGTTCTTCTGCTGACTATTGCTGGGGTCGGAAAAGGACCAGTGAGTGAGTATTTTAGGCTTGGTAGCCATACGGGCTCCGTTGCAACTTTTCCAGACAAGATGTGAACAAGTGAGCATAGCTGTTTCCAATGGGACTTCATTTATAGACACTGAAATTTGAATAGCATGCAATTTTGACATGTCAGGGCATAGTATCCTTCTTTGAGGTTTTTAAAAATTACCATGAAAATGTAAAACCATTCTTAGCTCATGGGCTATTCCAAAACAGGCAATGGGCCAGATTTGGCCTTAGTTTGGCCACCCTCAATCTATTGGATTTGAATGAGCTTATTTTACCTCCTCTCTTTACCAGTTTGGATGTCATACATTCCTTTTTAATCTTTTAGAAATTATTACTAATTCTTTAGTGTTAATATTCACATAACAAAGTCTACAGCTAAATAAAAATTTCTTTCCTCCTCTCAAACAATATAATTACTGTAGAAAACTTTAACTCCTATTGTTGGGAGTTGCCCTGGCTCCAAAGATTAACTTCCCCATCCCCCAAGAAGAACCATCCAATGGTGAGCCCTGCTGGCTCACATGATCCTTACCCAACAATCAGAGCCCTGCTGGCTCACCTGATCCTACCCACCAATCACACTAGCCCTGCTAGCTCACCTGATCCTTACCCTCCAATCTAAAAGCACCCCATGCCAACTGTCAAACCACCCTGGGCTCTCTAAATATGCAGAGCTGTTCCTCAATAAACAGGCATTTGCTCCAACGACAAGCCTTGTTCGTTCTTTCATTGGTGTGAAAACCCGGGAGGGGGAATGCCTCGCTGCTTGAGGGCCCCCCTCTCAAGGCTTGCTGTCCTGGTCCACTCTTTCAAGTGCTGTTTGTTTACAAGACCAGATCTTCAGTAGGTGAGTTCCCCTATCGTGTATCCAACTTCAGACGGGCTACGCAGGGGCTTTGACCGTGATCATCCGGCAAACCTTGGATGCCTAATCTGGAGGAGAGAACACACCCAACCATGACCTTCATGGTCACGGTGGACTCTCTGGAACCCAGTTCATGAGCAGGAGGTACTGAGGGGTGGAAGAACAAGCACTCCTCTCTCTCTCTCTCTCTCTCTCTCTCTCTCTCTCTCTCTCTCTCTCT